TTTTTTATTTATTTATTTATTTTTTTTTTTTTCATTTTTAATAATTAAAGAAAGATTAAAAAATTTGATGAATATATTACTTACATTTCTAACGTTCAAGCAGTTTGTGCATATTCTGTTAATAATGTTTAATTATATAGCTATTCTTATTAACGAACTGAAGGAGCATAAATATATATCAGAGTAGACCTTTTCGCCCGACTATCCAGCGCCTAATAAATAAATAAAACAGTTCTTATACAAAAGGAAAAAAATGTATATCTATAGACATACAAGATCAATAATTTGAAATGTGATAAATTCATATTATGAATATTAATAAGTTTAAGTCAATTTATTTACTTATATTTTCTGAGAAACATAATTTTGTTGATGTTTAATTTTGAAAAAACTAAATGATTATAAAAGACCCGTTTTTGGTAGTTCTTATTTATTCAAAGAGATTTCACGACTTACTGCAAAATAAATAAAAATGCTTTTCAATTATTAAATCTCTACCTACTCACACTCTCCCTCTCTCTTTTATTTCTCCCCCTCGTTATCTTATTTTAATACCTCAAACTTTCCAAATATAATTAAATTTGAATCATTTTTCCTTTGCAGGTGAATTTTCTTCCCAATTTTTGAGCCGCAACAATGGCTAATTGGAAATTTAGCCTCATCACGCTGTTGGCGCTTAGCGGGCTCAGCTGCCTGGCCAGCGCCTATCGAGTGGGCGTGGGACGCGCGGACATCACCGGACCGCCGGTGGAAATTAATTTCGTAAGTTTGTGACAGGCATTTGACACGCCGTTGAGCTTAAGTGAATTACCTGCCCAATCCCCGCCACAGATGGGCTATGCGAACATCAAGCAGGTTGGACGGGGCCTGCACACACGCACCTTTGCTCGCGCCTTCGTCGTGGAGGACGAGAAGGGGAACCGCGTGGCCTTCGTCAGCGCCGACTGCGGCATGATGGGCTACGGGCTCAAGCGGGAGGTGGTGAAGCGGCTGCAGGCGCGCTACGGCAACATTTACACCATCGAGAACGTGGCCATCAGTGGCACCCATACTCATGGTGCGCCGGGCGGCTTCCTGATGCACTTGCTCTACGACATTTCCATTCTGGGCTTCGTGCCACAGACCTTTGAGGCGATGGCCCAGGGGCTCTACCTGGTGAGAGGCTAACTCAAAGATTAATAATGATTGATAGCTAATCGCCGAATTAATCCCGTTCAGTGCATCAAGCGCGCCACGGACAACCTGGTGGATGGCCGCATCTACTTCTCCAAGACCATTGTGCTCAACGCGAACATCAACCGATCGCCGACATCGTATCTGCGCAATCCGGCGGAGGAGCGCGCCCAGTACGAGCACGACACGGACAAGACGCTGGCGCAGCTGCGCTTCGTGGACAAGGACAACAATCTGCTGGGCGCCTTCAACTGGTATGCGGTGCACGCCACCTCGATGAACAACACCAACAAGCTGGTGACCAGCGACAACATGGGCTACGCGGCGCTGCTGCTGGAGAAGGAGTACAATCCCAATAAGATGCCCGGCAAGGGCAAGTTTGTGGGCGCCTTCTGCTCCTCGAACCTGGGCGATGTCTCGCCCAACATCATGGGACCGAAGTGCTCCCTGTCGGGCAACGAGTGCGACATACTCACCTCGCACTGTCCCAAGGGCGAGGGCGAGTGCTTCGCCTCCGGCCCAGGGCGCGACATGTTCGAGAGCACACAGATCATCGGCCAGCGGCTGGCCGAGGGCGCGCTGAGCCTGCTGAACGAGCAGAGCCAGGAGTCGACGGCACGTGAGGTCACCGGAGATGTGCGCTTCATCCATCAGTTTGTCGATATGCCCAACTATAATGGCAGCACGTACAATCCGCTCACACGCAAGCTGGACAAGATCAGGGGCTGCCAGCCGGCTATGGGCTACAGCTTTGCGGCCGGCACCACTGATGGCCCCGGAGCCTTCAGCTTTGAGCAGGGCACCACCACCGACAACCCCATGTGGAACTTTGTGCGCGACTTCATAGTGCCGCCCACCCAGGAGGATATCAAGTGCCATGAGCCAAAGCCCATTCTCCTGGCCACGGGTCGAGTGAGTGCCTGAAGTGATAAAAGCGAATAGTAAAGGTCTTCATAGCTATATTCCCCTCTTAGGCAACCTTCCCGTACGAGTGGCAGCCCAAAATCGTATCCAATCAGATCCTAAAGATCGGCGATGTCATCATTGCCGCCGTTCCATGCGAGTTCACAACGATGGCCGGGCGGCGCTTGCGGAACCAGATTAGAGCGGCCGCCTCGGCTGCCGGTGGCATCGATACGGAGGTCATCATTGCCGGCCTGACCAACATCTACTCCAGCTACACCGTCACGCCCGAGGAGTACCAGGCGCAGCGCTATGAGGCCGCCTCCACAATATTTGGCCCGCATACGCACACCATTTACATGGACGTCTTCGAGCGCCTGACCAAGGCGATGATGCACAACCAGACTGTGGACGCTGGACCCAGTCCTCCCTATATGAACGATGTGATGCTCTCCTTGAATACCGGCGTGCTGTTCGACGGTCATCCCATTGGCACTGACTTTGGCTATGTGAAGACCCAGCCCCATAAGCAATACGGCATCAATGACACCGTCAGAGTCACCTTTATTTCGGGCAATCCGCGCAATAATCTCTTCACGGAGAAGACATACTTTTCGGTGGAGCGGAAGATCAACGAGGATCGTTGGAAGATTACCTACACGGATGCCAGCTGGGAGACAAAGTGAGCATTATTCTATCCCACTTGATGATATTGAGTCTAACTGTTTCTTTGCAGAATGGTCTGGCATCGCACGAACACGATTCTCGGCTTCAGTGAGCTGGAGATCATTTGGAACATCAGTCCCCAGACCCTGCCGGGCGAGTATCGCATACGGCACACTGGAGAATACAAGTATATATTAGGTGGGAAGTACCCCTACGAGGGGCTGACGCATTCCTTTACTGTCACCGAGGATTAATTGTCCCCAGTTGATCAGTCCAAACTAATCAGTGTATTTATTTACCACGCATAAATGATGATGAAAAGCTTTATATTCTAAACACTAATCAATTGAATGCCAAATTTTTTAGAACTTAAATAAAATGAATACGAAAACGGAATCTTGAGCTGTGGAAATATATATGGGCAGAGGAAAATGAAATATAGTTTATATCTAGACATTTTCCTGTTCGTGCATTTGAATTCACTGAAATCGCGCGCCCACATAAAAACATCCCACAAACAGCTGTTTCGATGAGATCCACTCTTGCGCACAGTTCACTGGAACTTGTTTTAGCTGTGCGTGGATCGTATCTCACTACGAAGAACAACTCAAAACAAACCCGACAAAATGAGCTGTTGCTCTCCCTTTCGCTCTTCTGCTCGTTGGCTCTTGCCTATGGAATGTATCCACATGCGGCTATAGCGGCAATAATATCGCTTTCAGTTCCATTTTGTGGTGCTGAGCGCGCGGTCGCATTGTCGATAGGGTCCACACACAACAGCCAGAAGCAAATAGAAAACAAAGGCAAAAAACAAAAATATAAATCAGGACTGGCTAAATAAATACATACTAATATCAAACATATGTATGTATGTCCGTTAGCTTGTGTGTGCGCGTGTATTCTTTTTAGTTGCTAATTACAACAAATTGTAAAAGGAAGTTGTTGAGTGTTAATAGAATTCTTGAGTTCCATTCGACTGCAGTTTGTGTGTGCGTGAAAGAGCCCCGATTAGCTGTAAACAAAAGGCTAAAAGACAACGCTAAGAATAACAGAGAAAAGAACGAGTGAATCGACGCCTACGCGTTCTGATTCTTACACCGTGCAACAGCGGCTGTTGGCCCAGCGTTTAGGGGCAACAAGTTTTCCAGGAAATCAGAATTCATAGACAGGGTAAGTGCGCCGGGGCGGGTGTATGGCCCCTCGACCGGGGAAGGGGCTGACGTGTTCGATTGAAGATCGTCTTGTCGGCATCCAGTTTCCGCCCTGCACTGATAAGCCTCTTGTCACCCTTCCTCTCGCCTCTCACTCCACAAAATGTGGGTCAACTCGAAATTAAAAATATTCATTTTTTTGATTAGAAAGAAATTTCCAGAGAGACGCATAGACCTACGTCATAACAGAGAAACATATGAGTTCCTCATGTCCAAAGTTATTCTGTTATTTTATATGTATGTGCATTTAAATACTGTCGCCTAGTTGCGCTATCTCCGCTTCTATCGTTGCCCACATGTGTGGGGACGCAATCGAAATAATGCCGCTGCCGCTGTCGCTGCCACTGTTGTTGCCGCTGCCGCTGACCGCCACACGCGTCAAATGCTCCCAGTTATGCGATAAGTAGAGAATCTCGAATCGACAAACTGTGTGTGGGCTGCTGCGGGGCAAACGGCATCGCAGAGGCAATTGAAGGCAGCAGCCCAGTCACGTAGTCAATTGCCTGCGTTTGTTTTGATATGTTTCCATCTTCTTGTTGCTTTGCGCCGCACTTCGGTTGTGTTTATGTTCCGTGTTCATTGGAAATCAACCCCTAAATGAGAGCAGGCTGGAATTGGAACCAGAACTGGAGCAGCTCATTGCAACTGTTGCAGCGTTGCCAACTATTTGAAAGATGTGAATAAGAATTTCAAGCGAGGCGCTGCTTTTCCAATTGGAATAACACCGACTACATTCTCAATGAAATTTAAAATTTATTTTCTAAAATTCATATATATACTTAAAATTGATTTGAAAAGAAATTGAATGATTTCAAATCAATTAAATAATAATTGAATTTAGTTCAGAATGCCACGCATCACATCACGCTCCTTTCGCGAATATGAATCCAATTAGAATCTGCTCAAGTTATTAGCGTCTCTTTAGAATAACTAACTCTTGTTTATTATACTTGTATACACACATATATTCCGTTTTATGAATATAAATAGCGTCAATTAATCGACGATTTGCTAAAATTTATGAATTTTATTAATCAAAATTCTGGTTTAATGCACCCAGACGACGTAGAATTGACGTACAGTGCGTATAAGCCGCTTTAGCTGCGGCTCAGCCGTAATGGTTTCAGTTAGTATATCCAATTTGCACGCATCGAATCCCTTACCAGTTGGGTAGGGAACTTGTCATAAGACGTGGGCACACAGCATTTGAATTGCAAACAAATTGTTAAGCACTTGAGCCGACAATTGTTGTTATTCGTTTATTTTGATTATTATTTTTGTTTATTTTTTCATTTTGGGCTCACTTCAGTGTCGAGTTCATCTCTTGACGAGAGGAAAACGAAAGCAGCTCAAAGGCCAACAGCGGGCACCAAATGAAATGAAATCAAATCAAACGAAATGAAAGCAAATGAAATGAAAGTGCTGCCCTGATTGTTGCTCCACTCTGTGGCAGGTGCCCCACTGCAGCTCATGGTCAGCAATAGCCACTTCCTTGCAACTATGTCCCCACTTGCACTTCCACTTCCATTTTCAATTCCCACTTCGGCTTCGTCACGAGTTTGTTGTGTAATTAGCTTTAACTTTTGCCAAAGCTGGCAGCTGCATTTGCTGGCATTTTTTTATCTTGCACATCTCTTTATACTCTGCACACATTAAGAATGCCAAAAGGGGCGTGATCGACTGTCCGATCTGTTGATGTGACAGACTAAAACAGGTCTCAGGCAGACAGACGCACAAAGCTAAATCGACTTAGTTCATAGCCCTGATCGAGAATATATGTACCTTATGGGGTCTGCCACGCCTCCTTTTGTCAGTTTCATATATTTAATACAACCATTTTAACCTGATTTCCTCTTTTTCAATGGGTTTAGGGTAGAAATAGCTGCTAAATGAAATGTCTATTTAGTTGTAATATTTTATATATTTTATATATATAGTTTATATATGAGAACTATTTGGCATATGTTCTGCCAGCCTAGAGACTAGATTGCATATAAATAGACGGAAATGCATAAGTGCATACATGAGTGAATTGTAGGCTGAGCGTGAAGACTAAAGAGAAAACCCTCTATTAACACTTTTGTTCAAGAAAATATATAACATAAAGCAGATGAAAATTTAAAATTTCCTTGCAAAAAAAAAAAAGGAATGCAGAATAGAATGCAAAGCAAAAAAATGCGACCAAATTTCGATACTGCCGGACGTAATTACTTTTTAATAATTTTGTAGGGATGGATTAAAAATGGACCCTTCATAAAAAAACTAAAAAAAATAAATAAAAATAATAAAAAAAAATACTAAAATTAGAAAGAAATTTAATACCGAATTGTGGGGTACAAGAAATCATTATGAATTTTACTATAAGTTAAGATATACATGAATAGAGGGTATCTGCTCGTCATCCATGCTTGTGAGCACACCTCTTGTTTTATGCTTATAGGTAGCTATGTTAACCGGTTTAGATGCGACTGTCAAGCGGGTATTTACGGGGCTTATGCTTAGAGAGCTCAAGGTGAATCGGCTGGCTAGATGTAAAGCGTATGCGCTGAGCATATTCAATTCAACAATTTGTCATTTGTAATGAGCAAACTTGTTGGATGCACTTGAAACGGCTGGGCATTAGCAGCCGGATCTGGCCAGAAAATGTGAAATTATGAATACATATTTAATGTTGCTCACAAGAGTTTTTTCCGCATTGAGTCGGGTTCAAGTTCATGACAGTGCCTGTCGCATTTACGCCAATTAAATTACGGCCGCTCAAATTGAAAAGTTTTGTCACTCGCCAGCAGATGGGATAAATGTTCGAGTGCTACATACATATAGATATACACTCGTATATAGTAGATAAATGTATCTGTATCTGTTGTTCGATCGAACTTTTTCAAGTGACAGTTAAATTGGCTCGTCTCGCAGGGCAGTCAAATGTGCTTTGTAGGCAAAATTACCGAAATGTCTGTCAATTTGATTTTAATTATGCACACGAATTGGCCAAAAGGCGCAGCCAATTGGAGCTGGCAATGGGGCAGCTCGAGTTACAGTCAGCTGCGCTTCCACTTCACATAAGGTCAGATGCTGTTTGCCCATTAAATGCCAGCACATCTCTGTATCTGTGTGTCTGTGTGTGAATGACAAAGACTTGCCACAAATGTCAACGGCGCCAACTCTTGGCTACCAAAATTGAGCACCACATAAATGTCAGCTACTGAGTTATGACTTTGGCAGCCCTAACAACCAGCCAAATGCAACTGGAAACTGGCAACTCTCGACTGCCAACTGGCGGTGGACAATGTGCAACTTACCTTGTGGCAAGTTGTAACAACAATAACAACAACAACAACAACAACAACTGCCATATGGCAATTCCTGTTGCAATGGCGTTCGCCTGACATTTGCACCTGAATAACAATGCCGCAGCTTCGCCTCGCAATATATTTCTCTTGTTTCATTTTGATTTTCCTCTACAACAACATACAGTGCAAGCTGGCAATAAAAGAATAGAGCATTTTAATTCCAAATATTCATATCTCAGCATTGCAGAGCTCAGCGCTTAACACTCATGAATAGTTTAAACTTTATTTGTGCTACATAAATATTCTGCATAAATTGCTTTAAATACTTCTTGAGTAAAATTAAGCATTATAGTAAATTCTTTAATTTGTTTAAATACATTAAAATAGGTTATCCAAGCCCAAAATATTTAAGCAAAAATTTAAAAAAATTTTATAATATTAATTTCATTTATAATTTATTATTCGATGCAAACTTTTGATTTTGCCTTTACATTTCATTTCAACCAATATAAGGTCAAGGGTCACATATTGATAATTTGATGCTTGTGCCATGAAGACTTCGCTTTTAATATCAATTCCATTTGAGCAGCAACATAAATGGTTCGTTTCAACTTTTCTATGGCAACGAGAAAAAGGAAAAGAAAAAATATTAAAGGAAAATCTTTGTATTTCCCTATATCACTCTACTTGATTATTTAATATTGAAGAGTGTAAATTTTGTGCCTTAAGGCTTGACATTTATATTAGGTAGTTGACGTGGAATGTAGAATAGAATATAGAATAAACAGTAAAATAGT